TCAAAATAGACTTGGTCTTTGACCATTTAAGGTGTAACTGTTGTGTTTTTCAAGACTGATTTTAGGCAGTTTTATGTATTGTGTACCAATGATATGTAAAATAAAGCACCTTTTCTACTATAAACAATTACAGGTGTTATTTATTTTGAGTTATGTGAAAGCAACGTTAGTGATGGCAGAGTAAATCTATAGAAATGTTGATTTTATATGATTCATCTAAAATAACTTAGGCAGTCTTTAAAAATGGATTGTGTTTAAAAACTTGTTTTTAAGATAGTGGATTGTGGTTGGGAGTCATTTTCTCCTAGAAATGTAAACCATATCTAACCTTTATTATACCTGAACTAATATGCTTGAAAGTAAAAAGGCAAATGGCTCCAAGAAATAGTCTAAACTTGTTGCCACCTTTTTTTTTTTGTCTTTCATTTACTTTTAAATGTTTTTCTTCATGCTTTCACTCTTTTTAATTCATAGCACCAGGCTTCTAACCTGCTACTCCGTTGAAATGGCTCTAGCAAAGGTCAAGGATAACCTCCCATTTCCCAAATCCAATGAACCTTTTTATTGTACTTAATCTCATCACGTGAAACTTTATCTGCTCCCTGGGCACGTCCACATTTCTGTAATGTCTGTGATACCATGCCCTCTGTCTTTGTGCACCTCCTCCTGTCTGCAGCCTTTTTCCACTCCCATCTGGCTCCTTTTTTTTTTTTTTTTTTTATAAGATTCAGGTCAAACGTTGCCAACCTGAGGAGGCCTCTCCCGACATACTCCACTGCCAGGTAGATTTGACCCCTTCTTCGTGTGCTCCCACTGTTCTTTGTTAAATCTTCAGTCATGGCAGTCTAAAAACTCAGTGCCCTTGTTTGTTAGCATTGTCCCTCTCCCTCTTCTAGATGCTAGGTCTTCCAGGCAAAGACTGGGTCTTTATACCCTTCCATATTGGCCAGTTAACCGGTACTTAAATATTTTAACAGCGAGTACAGAATATCACCTTTATAACTGTTCATACTCCCACTCCCCACTCTTAAATAGGGGTCAAAATGGGAGGGAGGCTTGAAAGGGAAAGATTTTTGCAGATTTGGTAAGCCTCTAGAAGAAATACAAACTCTTTAGCTTTGTCTTGCCCTACCCTGCTATTATTATGCTTAGGTTACTAAGAAAAGTTCTGGGATAAAAAAGGGATTTAATATAGTTGTATATAGATCTCAAGAGGTCTTTGATTTGAAAAAATTTTAGCATTTGATGAGATTGGTAGGCATTGCTGGATGATTATTTTTAACATTGGATGATCAAAATGAGCTAAAAATATGACAAAAGTTAGTTTGTTATCTGACACTAGAAACAACTTACCTATTTAAGCACAGGGAAGTGCTGGAGAACATGGACACCAGGATTGGAACCGAGTTGGATTCTTAATACATATCAAATCAGGTCACTGTTGTTACCTCTAAACTGGTAGGGCAAAAGATTCTTACACTCAGAAAAACAAGATGACATTGGGAAACCTCCCTTCTGAGTTTTCCAGTTATAGTTGTGAGTCCCTAGACTTGCATATATTTCTGTAACTCCAGAAAAGGCTTATTTTGATCATGCCTAGAAAAACATGAACTATAAAATTTTGGGAGAAAAAACAATTCTGTAAACTGAACACAGAAAGAAAAGGCTATAAAATCTGAGGATACCAACCTCCTTGTTCAAAATAGATTTCCATGTCTTGTTAGTATCAGTTTGCTTCTCTCCTGTCCTCTGCAGAACTAGTATCAAGAAAATGTCCCCCGTGGGCCTATTAATCTCAGCAGGGGGCATCTGAAACTGAGTGTGAGGTTCTCTTTTATGTATCTGGTATTTCAGATAAATTGAATTGAGCAAGGGCCTGCTACTTAAAGTTCATCGAATTCTCAGTCTGGCTACTGCTCCTGCCAGTACCTCAGATTCAAAAGTCTTGAGAATACAGGATTATAAAGCCTTTGGCCTTGGATAAAGAGAAGGCTAGGAAGTCATAGGGTTGAGGCTGTGAAGGCTACGGAAGTATTCCTTATTTACTGATT